TCTCTCTCTCTCTCTCTCTCTCTCTCTCTCACACACACACACACACACACACACACACACACACACACACACACACACACACACACACACGCGCACGCGCCCGTGCGTGCAGAGGAAATGTCAGCATAAGTACATACCATAATCCTCCGTCACCCAGTGCATTCTCTCTCTCTCTCTCTCTCTCTCTCACACACACACACACACACACACACACACACACACACACACACACACGCGCGCGCGCCCGTGCTTGCAGAGGAAATGTCAGCATAAGTACATACCATAATCCTCCGTCACCCAGTGCATTTCACCAGCTCCGCGGAGCAAAACCTAAAATTGACAAAGTGCAGACAGAACAAACACGTCAACTAGCACTGACACATGATTGTATCTCTGAACCATGTGCCACTGACTTTTCTCAGTTCCTTACACAAGCATGCCAATTTAGCTTTCAATCATTCGATATCATGCAAAAGACATGCTCCTCTCATTCATCACATCTCTGTTCGAGAGTGCCCTGACTATTGTCCTCAAGAATTCTAGAGATATTTTCCTATCATTCATCACCTCTTTTAAGAGTGCCCTAACTATTGTCCTCAAGTTTGGCCTAGGAATCCACATCACATGCTTCCGGTCATTAGCACGACGGGAAATACACACATCGTTATAACTGTTCAGCTGACTGCATAGCGCGCTCAGGCTGCTACAGGAAGCTCTGCTCTGATTAGAATTGGCAGCTCTAATTGGATAGGCAGTTCAGAGATACACCACCTATACCTCATCAGCTAGAGAGCATTGGTATTTTTAATTCATTCCACTGCTCGCACTGCAATTGTGGGGATAACAGAAGCATCTGACCACCAACCTGCCCTGATTGAGTCTTAGCAGGAATTTGTAGGTAATTAGTACAGCTGCAGGGAACTCTTGGGCAGCCAACCTGCCATGATGCAAACCATAGCACTGAACCTCATCCAATTCTAAAAAAGTGGTGTCTAAAAATTTGAAAAAACTCACATTGCGTATCATAGAGCCTACGAATTCCTCATTGATACAATGGTACAACAACAGGATTTGAATGCTGTTCAAGAAGTGACACGCTAGTGAGGCCACAAGCAGATCAACCAACCCAACAGAATGCCC